AAGAGGAAGAGGAGGAGGAGGAGGAGGAGAAGGAGGACGAGAAGAATGAGAAAGGAGGAAAAGGAAAAGGAAGAGAAGGAAGAGGGGACATAAACCAGGGAAGAAAGAGGATGACGAGGACCTGTAGGGTGTTGGTGGAGTTCCTCAAGGGAGGTTAGAGCGGTGGGGGTGGGGGTGGGGGGGGGAGGGAGGGGGGGGGGGAGGTGCCCACGAGGGTGAGCGGATGTAGTCAGCTGGCCCCTCATTACCACAGATGCGTCCGAGTTACCTGTGATTTCGTCGTCATGTGATACGCTTTTTACACATCGCGTGGAGGGGGGGGGGGGGTGAGAAGGGAAATGGGAGGGGAGAGAGAGAAGGCGAGGGGTTGGGGGATATGATGCTACCCCCCCCTTCCCCTCATTCCCTCCCCTTTATCCTCCTGCTCTTATCCTCCCCCCTCCCCCCACAACCGGTGCATCCTTCATTCATAAGTTTCTGTCTCTCTTTTTCTGCTTCTCTCTCTCTCTCTCTCTCTCTCTCTCTCTCTCTCTCTCTCTCTCTCTCTCTCTCTCTCTCTCTCTCTCTCTCTCTCTCTCTCTCTCTCTCTCTCTCTCTCCATCTCCCTCTCCCTCTCTCTCTCTCTCTCTCTCTCTCTCTCTCTCATTCTCTCTCTCTCTCTTTCATTCTCTCTCTCTCTCTCTCTCTCTCTCTCTCTCTCTCTCTCTTTCTCTCTCTCTCTCTCCCTCTCTCTCTCTTTCCCTCTCCATCTCTCCCTCTCTCTCTCTCTCTCTCTCTCTCTCTCTCTCTCTCTCTCTCTCTCTCTCTCTCTCTCATTCTCTCTCTCTCTCTCTTTCATTCTCTCTCTCTCTCTCTCTCTCTCTCTCTCTCTCTCTCTCTCTCTCTCTTTCTCTCTCTCTCTTTCATTCTCTCTCTCTCTCTCTCTCTCTCTCTCTCTCTCTCTCTCTCTCTTCTCTCTCTCTCTCTCTCTCTCTCTCTCTCTCTCTCTCTCTTTCATTCTCTCTCTCTCTTTCACTCTCTCTCTCTTTCATTCTCTCTCTCTCTCTCTCTCTCTCTCTCTCTCTCTCTCTCTCTCTCTCTCTCTCACTTTTTCATTCTCTCTCTCTCTTTCACTCTCTCTCTCTTTCATTCTCTCTCTCTCTCTCTCTCTCTCTCTCTCTCTCTCTCTCTCTCTCTCTTTTTCATTCTCTCTCTCTCTCTTTCACTCTCTCTCTCTTTCATTCTCTCTCTCTCTCTCTCTCTCTCTCTCTCTCTCTCTCTCTCTCTCTCTCTCTCTCTCTCTCTCTCTCTCCAAGGTCGACGAACACCTCAAGAAGATATACAATGAACATGCAACTTTTTCTGAACGTGTTATGTTATGTAGAAAAAAAATACACCCCCAGGGAAGGGGGGGGCGAGGGGGATGTGGGGTCCCGAAGGGGGGGGGGGGGAAGGTTGGATGCTTAAGGCTGGTGAATCATATCCTGTCTACGCGGGGGTGAGGGGGGTGGGGATGAATCTCTCCCTCCTCTCCCCCCCCTCTTTCCCCTCCCCTCTCTCCCCTCCCCCAACACACGCACGCACGTACAAACTTCCCGGCGGAGATTTATGGCAATTTTTTTTTCTCTCTCACCATTGAGGAAGAAGTTATAATGGTGATAGTGAGTATCATAATCAATAGTGTCATCATTACGAGTACTGTCATCATCATAATGATATTATCATCATTATTAACTGATAAGGGAAGTAATATTAATTATATAAAAAATGTAACTACGATAATGATAACAATAATGTTGATTTGAATAGTAGTGATGATGGCAGTAACATTTATAATTATCAAAAAAATAATAATGATAATGATAATCGAACAGGAATCTATTTCTGGCTGTAGTTTGAATTAATGTTAAGTAATTATCGTATTTCGCAAAACAATTTTCCCTTATCTTTTATTTACTTATATAATAATTCTGTGTTTTTATTCATTCCTTTTAATATCTTTTTTAATTGCTTTATGTTTTTTGTTTTTTGTTTTTTATCAACGACTTTAACTATTTGAATTTTCAAGTTTGTTTGTTATCATTTGTGTTCAAGCGTTTTGTTGTCATTATTTTTTTTTTGTCCTTATCATTTTCATTTTCCTCTTCTTTCTCTTCCTTCTTTCTCTCTTTTCACTCATGTTGATAAATGAATAAACAAGTTTAAGAAACTGATAAACAAATAACTGAGGGATTGTGAGTGAGGGATCGAGGGAGGAAGGGTGAGTCAGTGAATGAAGGAGGGCGAGTGAGGGAGAGTGAGTGAGTGAGGGAGGGTGAGTCAGTGAAGGAGGGAGGGAGGTTTGAGTCAGTGAAGAAGGGAGAGTGAGTGAGGGAGGGTGAGTCAGTGAAGGAGGGAGGGAGGTTTGAGTCAGTGAATGAAGGAGGGCGAGTGAGGGAGAGTGAGTGAGTGAGGGAGGGTGAGTCAGTGAAGGAGGGAGGGAGGTTTGAGTCAGTGAAGAAGGGAGAGTGAGTGAAGGAGAGTGAGTGAGTGAGGGAGGGTGAGTCAGTGAAGGAGGGAGGGAGGTTTGAGTCAGTGAAGAAGGGAGAGTGAGTGAAGGAGAGTGAGTGAGTGAGGGAGGGTGAGTCAGTGAAGGAGGGAGGGAGGTTTGAGTCAGTGAAGAAGGGAGAGCGAGTGAGGGAGAGTGAGTGAGTGAGGGAGGGTGAGTCAATGAAGGAGGGAGGGAGGTTTGAGTCAGTGAAGAAGGGAGAGTGAGAGAGTGAGGGAGGGTGAGTCAATGAAGGAGGGAGGGAGGTTTGAGTCAGTGAAGAAGGGAGAGCGAGTGAGGGAGAGTGAGTGAGTGAGGGAGGGTGAGTCAGTGAAGGAGGGAGGGAGGTTTGAGTCTGTGAGGAAAGGATGGCGAGTGAGGGAGGGAAGGCGATTGAGGGAGGGAGGGTGAGTCAATGAATGAGGGAGGGGATGTGAGGGAGGGAGGGTGAGTCAGTGAATGAGAGAGGAGGGTGAGTCAAGGAAGCAGGAAGGGCTGAGTCAATGAATGAGGGAGGGGATGTGAGGGAGGGAGGGTGAGTCAGTGAATGAGAGAGGAGGGTGAGTCAAGGAAGCAGGAAGGGCGAGTGATAAAGGGAGGGAAGGTGAGTAAGTGAATAAATGTATGGAGGTGAGAGAGGAAGGGTGCAAGAATGAGGAAAAGTGAGTGAATATGTGAGAGTGAGTTAAGGAAGATACATGAGTTGTGGAGGGAAGATGTGTGCCTTCCATGAGTGAGTGAATGAATGAATGTGAAAAAAATGAGTGAGTAAGGGATGGTGAGTGTGATGTATGAGGGATGAGTGAGATGGCACCTGGCGCGGACGAGAGGCAGCTGTCGACTATTATCACAGCTACGAACCGTGTATATGTGCGTTTGTATGTCCCTGTGTGTGTATGTGTGTGTATGTGTGTGTATGTGTATGTGTGTGTGTGTGTGTGTGTGTGTGTGTGTGTGTGTGTGTGTGTGTGTGTGTGCGTGTGTGTTTGTGTGTGTGTGTGCGTGTGTAGGTGTGTGTGTACGCATCTGTGTGTGTGCGTGTGTGTGTGGGGTAATGTGAATACGTGTATGTGTATGTGGGAGAACACATCCGCCTGCTTGTATGTATATCCGAGCATGAATGCATGTGAGTCACTATCATCACTATCATCACCACACGACCCTCCTCCTGTCCCATGCCGCCTAACAAAGGACAGTTTACAGTGATTTTATTGCATTATTAACGGACCAGTGAATGGGGAGAGGGAGAGTAGGAGGGGGAGGGGGAGGGGGAGGGGGAGTGAGAGGGTGAGAGAGGGAGGGAGCGGGAGAGGGAGAGAGAAGGGAAAAGCGGGGGAAGGGGGGAGGGGAAGGAGGAAGCACGCTAAGGAACATTTTCTATATTTTTAGATATGTCGTCCTTTTCAGTGTCATTAGTTTTCCAAAGCCTCTGTTTCTGTAGCTCTATTTCATATCTATTCTATTCATAAATCGATTTACTCTTTTGCCTTTCTTCCTGCAACGATCGCAGTCCGTCATATATTTTCCTTTGCTCTTTAATAAACGTGAGATTTGATTTGATAGCATTTATTTACAGAACAGTGTACATACCCTGCAAAACAGGGTAAGATACCGAAGCATCTATCCAAACTGGCTGTACTTCTATTTGTGTAGAGCGCCATCAGTCAAATATTAGTGTTATATACCTGCCTGAAGGGCTGTGCTATTGTCATAGTATTAAAATATCGTCTGGCTGGTTAAAAAAAAAAAAAAAAAAGTATCACTAATCATGTTAAAGACGAGACCAGTGTCTATAATATAGTTAATTTAATCAACAGGTGCTAATCTGTGAACAGTACTGTTTGATCGATGGGATGCAGTTTTTATGCAACAGAGTAACTAATGGGTAAGATTATGCGACTTGGGCGCTTTACACAAGGTTTTGCCTCCAAAACTGCATCCTGTACATACTGCATAGTGTACTGGTATTCTATGCATAGCAAAGTCAGTGTAACCTGCTGTCTCCGAGACAGTCCATGATAGAATTTATAGGGTTTGTCTATACCTGATGTCCCAGCAATACTCTCGCAATGCCAGACAGTACCATGACTTTTTTCATCCTTTCAATGGTCTATACTTGACCTTCATAATTTCGAAGACAGCTGATAACACGTTTTTTATTTGATTGAGAGATAGCGGTACTACAAAATATGGATCTTCATGGGAAAATGCTAATCTGGCTGATTGATCAACTCTGTCACATAATGATATTCATATATGAGAGGGCATCCAGTATAATGCCACTTGGTTACCCTGTTCTGATAGTTTAGAAATTTGGTGAATGATAGCTCTAGTTACCATGTCACCAGCATAGGATATGATGTTACATAGGTTCCCTTCCTTAAGCATGATCTCTTAAGGGCTGATAAAGTAGTGATGAGTCACTGATTTCACTGATAAGTGGCAAGAACCAACAGACCAGAATATCTTCCTGCACTTTTACTAGTGACACAGTGGAGAGAAGTTTCGAGAAACACAGGTAAATACTTCTTTTATATTAAACAGTGTAGGTGACAATACTCCCCCTAGTACCTAGTTCTAATTCGCCATAAGCACTGTAGGCACCTTGGTACCATAATTTTGCTCTTAAAGATAGAGGATTGATGTAGGGGAGGCTCTCTTAAAATCTATGAAGTAAGAAGACTGTGCATTACTTCCATTTAGATACTGTGCTAGACACATTTGAGTCCCTTTCCCTTTTTGAAAGCCAAAGACAGATGGATGGATCAGGTCTTTGATCTAGTAGAGGATTCTTTCACAGGTTTTAGACAGGTAGGACATCAGAGAAATTGGTCTACGGTCATCAAGCCGTCCTGGTTTTGGGATGGGAATGATGGTTGCTTGTTTCCAAGTGGTTGGCAAATGATTACATCATCCCCAGGTGCAGTGGATTTGCTACTCTTAATGGCTGAGTTCTTCCCTAGTAAATGGTGCATCAGCCTCATCTAAGAGGTGGCACTGATAGTCAGTTTCGTTTTTATGGCTTAATTTGAGGGAGCACCTGCTTATGGATAATGGGAGATTATCAAAAGTCCTCACACCATTTATTGAGGAGAGATGAGGCTAACCTTTCTGGATGTGGGTGGGGTGTTATACTGCATGTATTGCCTTTGATCTTGCTGATTTCCTTCCATACATTACTCATGGGTGTCAAGGAGTCGATTGATTCTGCCCAGGCATAATCCCGTTTTCGAGGAAATACACAAGATCCCTAGCTAAATACGGGTTTTCCCCCTAGTGTCGTATCTGAACTTACATCATGATATTTAATAGCAAGGTGGTATCGAAGGCGTGGCTGGGAAAGAGGGACATAAGATTGCAACATGTTATGCATCCTTCTGAGATTGGAGTCGATTTGCCTACATTTCTAAAAGGTCTCTTGTTCACATTCTTTTTCTTTTACTTGCAGCTACTCCTTTCAGGCTATTCTATTTATTTTTCGTACTTTAGCTGTTGTTAGCTATTTTTCTTCTTGTTCAGGGGTTCCTGTTAGCTTAACACAGAGTTAATTTATGCACAATTCACAATATTATCCTGGGAGATCCTGAAAATCAGGGGAATTCCAGAAAAAAATCCTGGAATTATAACTATCCCATATACTGGCAATGAAAGTGCTGTATAGAAACATGTCTAGCTTTTTTGTACTGTGAATCTAGGGATGAAGTAAAGGGTATACTTGGACCTACATTTTTCAACACTTGCATGGATTTTGCCTTGAACTAATACCAAGATCAGGGACTCTGGGGTCTACTAAGAGAACCTGTCTAGTCTATGCTTGCTTGCAGTGAAGACATCAACATCATTCAGATCTTCACGTACCTTGGCAGTGCCATTTACAACTCTGGCTGTTGGTATTAATATATGTAGTCCCTCTTGGCACCCTGTTCTTTACACTCTACCTCTCATGCATTGATTTTTACTAAGTAAATTTTTGCCTGTTCCATGAATTACTGAAGCTCAAAACAAAATAAACGCAGGTTAAATGCCCAAATGACAAACATACATATCACGGTCCTTTGGTAACAGATCCTGACAGTGGAATCCGGGATACAGATAGCAGGACCACGCATTCACGCAGTGGCACCATTGTTAGCCTGGCATGGAATTTGTCATTCCCATAATCTAGTTCTGTCAACTCTAGCTATACTGACATTTGGTTCAATTCCAAAGAGGATCCTGACTACTTTGTTGTTGCTTCCAGAAACAATTCTCGGCTGAATGCAGGACGACTTGGCCAAATCAAGTAAACTTATCAGGTAGGACAGGATTCCCATTCTGACGCTCATCAAGAAGGTCCCTCGTAGCTGGAAGCCTTTAGTTTCTACTCTCTTCCTCTTCCATCTCATGATGTATAAGTACTCCCACCTTCTCTCCTGCAATCCCTTTGTTTGATTTTTTTATCCACTTTGTTTTACATTATATTCTTTTTATCTACTTTGTTTTATACCTTATTCCTTTTACCCACTTTGTTTTTCATTTATCTCCTCATTATCCTCGGTAATTTTCCTCCTCTTCTATCTTTTCCTTGCACTTCCAGCCCCTAAACTCCACAATCCCTACCTCTAGATGCAACATGTGATGCCTGTCCTGTTCGTCTATTCACTGACGGATATTAGTCATGTCATTAGAACAAAATACAACATTCAGAACGCATTAGGTCACTCACTCTCTCTCAAGAACTGATAATGCAGTGATATGTCACTGATTTCACTGATAAGTGGCAAAACACTTAAACCAACAGACCTGCATATTTTCCTGCATTCTTACTGGTGAAACACAGGTAAATACTTCTTTTACTCCATTCTAGGAAAATTCTTGGGCAGTTTGTGGTACATCACAGTTTTACGAGGACAGTTTTCCCTCTATTCTGTCTGTTCAGTCAAGTCATGCTGATGTGTCACAAAGAGGTAGCCTATTGTAGTACTGTAGGTCTGGTATATCTTACATGGGCTCAGTGTTACTGATCGAACACTTTAGTGAAACGAATGAACCTGAAAATATTATGAGTGTATGATGAATGGCGCTGTAGTTATGCGTTTTCAAATATTGTAAATGTTTCAAAAATAGTTTTGGTGAGTTTGTTATTCGTCATTGAGCTATAATCATCCATGCAAGGTTACCATCTTAATCTTGTCTTCTTCAACAGAGAAAGTAAGTAGTAGGAATTTGGTTTTGTCTACACTCTGCATGTATTGCACTGTGTACTGAGTCTGCTGCCCTATGTTTAACCTGGTTGTTGTTGCCTGCTGCCTCCGAGATAGACCACAGTAGATTTTAATTTTTCAAATAATTTAACATCCTAAAAATGCTTTCAGTGATGCGGCGTCTGTATCTGTTGTTAAATCTTGTAACAAAAAGGTATTTTGGCAAAACTCATATCCGATATATCTATATATACTTTGAGCCTCATCTTTTTCAAAAAATGTTAATGAAATATGAAAAAATAGAATATGGCTCAAGTAAATCTGTATAGAACGTTAAGATTCTAAGTTTGACATTTCCTGGACTTCATCAACACATCAGATCAAGAATTCTTTGCGTTTTTGCCATTTATATATTATCTTGAGAAGAATAGAGTGACAGTGAGGGATGGAAGAGGGAGAAAGAAAGTGGATATGGCGAAAGAAGAAGAGGCAGGGGAAGAAGGGGTAGAGAGACGCGGGAGACGGACCTAAGGAGGGAGTGAGTGAGCTTTTACTCTATAATTACTGTTAACTAAATCAAAGGTGTTTGAGAGTAAAAGACTTTACATTCATGGCATTAATTCAAGTAGAATAAAGAGTGTTGTCTCGCACCCAAGCACACTACGTCAAAAAATACCTTCAAAGTTAGAGGTTTTCGACTTATATCTTGGTTAAACTGAAAGATGGAGTCTTCTTGATTTCATCCCGAGTAGTTTTTCAATCTTATGCATCGTTAAGGATTTAGTTTAGCTGTACTTTATGAAATGATTCATTAGCATTTAAGGAGATAGCCGAGCTGAAAATGTCAACATACATCAGATTTCATGTTTTGGCTCGCGTGGTTGTAGCGGTTATTGCTCAAGTTTACATCTCATGGTAATGATTCGAGTGAGCGTCAAAGTGCGATCCACGCCGTTCCAAGGGAGCAGATATCCTCATTTATAATTACATCTATTTCCTCCTGTGGGAGGGCCATCTACTCCCATTTCCCTCTCGGCTTTGCTGAAGAGCTTTCTTTGCTAAACCTGGCAGCCTCATCTTCATGCAGTACAATTTTGACATAATTCAGAAACAAACGCAGTGTGCAGTTGGATGGTAATAAGCATCGTTAATTACTGCTTTTGCATGCTATGTAATCCTCTTATCACTGAATGTCTTAGCAATTACTGTTGTTATTTTTCCTTACTATTATGGATACTTTCATCATTTTTTTCAGGTCAAGATGACGCAAGTCCAAAAAAACTTCGATGAACATTCTCCATTCGCTTCCCTTCCTAGTCTTTCTTTAGACGACGTTGAGAGCATTTTCGACAGTATTACTGAGGAAGGAGGTGGAGCCTTATATGGATATGGGCATCGAGAGGATGGCGCTGGAGATGGGTACGGAGAAGTGCGTACAGGAGGACATGGAAGAGTATCTGGAAGTGGATATGAAAGTGAATTATACGGACGTGTGTCTGGAGGAGGAGGAGGAGAAACGAGCGGCAGCAGAGGAGAGGCCGGTGAGTTTGTGAGAGTCAGCGGGGAATCCACGGGAGTCAACGAAGGCCAATTACCAGAGGCCAGAACCCGGGTGATACAAACTCCCACACATTCCTTCGGTCATCCCACCCAATACCAAGAGGAGTGGCAGGTATTAGCCAATCCCACTGAAGAGAATGAAGGGGAAGAAGAGGAAGAGGAGGGAATAGCGAGGAGGAGTGGGAGTGCGCGGCGAAAGGAGCGTCTGGTGCATCAGCTTCCCATAAGGAATTCACTCGGAGGAGATTTTGGCTTCAAAGTGTCCTTCGCAAATGAAGGGAAAGTCAAGGTGAGAGCAATCCTCTTTAAGTTCCTTTCTTCTTCTTCTTTCTTCCTCTCCTCTCCTCTACCTTTTCTTAATCCTCCTCTTCTTATTCCTCCTCTTCTTCCTCCTCCTCTTCTTCTTCCTTCTCTTCTTTCTCCTCTTCTTCCTCCTCCTCCTCTTCTTCCTCCTCCTCTTCTTCTTATTCCTCTTCCTCCTCCTCTTTTTCTTACTCCTTTTCTTCTTCTTCTTCCTCCTCCTCTTACCGCTTCTTCTCCACCTCTTTTTAATCTTCATCTATATCTTTGTCTTCCACATCATCTTCTGCCACTTCTCCTGTTTCTTCTTGCTCTTTTACATCTTTATTTTCTTCGAGAGAGAAGAAAGGGTGAAAAATAGAAAGAGACAAACAGGGAGAGACAGGAAGACAGATAGAAGAGAATGGATGAGAAAAAGGAAAAGACAAATAGACAGATAGACAGATAGATA